AACTCGGGGGGATGTGGAGGCAGGGGCTGTGGAATGATGGGGGGCTGGGGAGCAGGGACTCTGGGAAGAGGGACTGGGGGCTCTAGAGGAGGGAACGAGGTCATCCTGGAAGCTGGGTGGAAACCGTACAAGGGACGGAGCCTTCAAAATGGGGTTGAAGGTTAACCGCTGAAATGAAGGTTAGGATGGTTGGAGAGCTGAGTCCCAAAGTGAGGGAGTGCAAATGGGATTCAAAGAATGGGGTGTTGAGGCTAACTCAAGTCCTGAGCGATCTGGGAGTTAACTGGTGGGGTCTGGATATAGTTGGCTTTTGAATCTCACGTTCTCGGTATGGAGCTGGGGTGGGTTGTTTTTTGAGGGAGATTAAGTAGTTAAATTGTCCAGATTAAGATTTGGACACTTATGGGTTAATTTTGGGATCTAGGGCTCAGTCTTGGGGTGTGGCGCCTCAAGGGTGGCATTTACAGGCCCCTGGTGCTAAGGATTGGGGTAATTTAGGCTCTGTTTCCCAAGCCCCACAGCTCAGCCCGCGCAGTTCAGAACCTTTGAGCTGACCTTTGAGTCAGAGGTCAAAAAGTCAGCTGGCAGGGAAAAGTACTTAGTTGTGAGGAAAGGTCCTGGAATTACTAAAAAACAGGAAAACTCTGTGCGTTGGGAAAGGCTCAGATTTGGGAGGCCGGAGGGAGCGGGAACCCTTGGAGAGAGGAAAAAGAGTTGCAGAGTAATACCCGTCTCTCTCTTCCGCAAAATGGCGGTCGCCCCCCCCCCCACACACACACACGCACGCGCGCGCGCGCGTTTTCTCATATCACGTGGTAGGACTCGCAACTTGTTCCCGCCCTTTACACAATCACGTAGCAGAAAATGCTAGGGAGGGGGGAGAGGTGAGACTGTCGAATGACTGCCGCCGGAAGAGATTGCAGAGGGAACCGCGTTCCGATTGGCAAGAAGCGCGTGAGGGGCGAGACCTTTATTGATTGGTCCGTAAGCCCGGCGCAGTTGAAGGCAGAGGAATTACAGAGACTGGGGCGGGGTTTTTCTGCCCAGGCGGGAACCCAATCAACCCGTTATGATTGGCAAGCTATTAGCGAAACTTACTCTGATTAGTCAAACTACCAAGTTTCCGCGCGGGAATTGGCTTACAGAAAGGCAAAGGCGGGACTAAGAGAAGAGGCTTTGTGGTCCAATTTTAGGAACTCAGAAGGCGCTACTTGCGGGAACTGCTGGCCTGTCGGTGAGTAATCTCGGGCGCAGGCGGTCATCAGCTCCGGGCGGATGGAGTGCGTGGATCTGGGGCCTTCCTGCATCTCGCTGGGGAAACTATTTTCCGCTGCATGAGGCCAGGAGGCCCCGAATTTCTCTCGCCCTCTTTAACTGCTTTTACATCCGGGTTTTTCTTCTGGGCCTCCCTTCGAGCGCGTGTGCCAATGGGAATCGCCATTTACGACGTTCCGCCTACTGTCTCACGTAAAGCATCCTGGGACTCGTAGTAAACCTCTCGAGATTTCCCTCTACACGCGGTAGGAGAAACGGAGTTTTACCTCCCGGCTGTTGCCCGAACCGTGATCCACCCCGTGCCTTGTTTGACTTTTTTCTAGAGGAGGCAACCTAAACAGTCCGTTAAACCAGCATTGGGACAAAGAATTTGGAGAAACCTTAGGCTAAAGTCACTTATTTCCTGTTTTCAGTCCTACCTCCGCGCCTCGCTCCATGGCAGTTCCCGAGACCCGCCCCAACCACACTATTTATATCAACAACCTCAACGAGAAGATCAAGAAGGATGGTGAGTTCTCGGGATGGCCTTTTACATCATTAGCATTCGGTTTCTACCTCCGTCTTCTCCAGTCTATTAAGAATAACCCCTCGGCCTTCCCACGTGCTGCGCCCAGGGACCTTGACTCTCTGCCCATTTACGTGGCCACTGTTGGTCATCCGTCAGCTCTCAGCTCATAGGACCTCTCGTGCCCTAGATGCCTGCCTCTGACTTCTAGGTCCTGGGCATCAAGTCCTGATCCCTTGGGTCTGTCTCCCCACTGGCCTTTGAATTCTGTGAGGGCAGGGACTGGGGCTCTCTAGGTCACTGCCATGTTCTCGGTGACCAGTCCACAGTTCAGTCGTACAGTTGTAACGATGGATGATACTGTGCTCCACATGCTGAGTCAAGCACTTGTAAGTGAGTCTTGGTTACATTTAGTTTCTATAACAGCCCTGCGGGAAGCTATCCTTACTCCCATTTCTCTGATTGGGAAATTGAGGAGCAAGTGTGCCTTAATTTGGCCCAGGGTCACAACATAGCAAAGAAAGTGGCAGAGGCCACCAGGATGTTATTCTGTTTAAGAACACACTTCAAGTCATACTTTGTTGTTGTTATTTGCCCTCGAGTGGGACCCGACTCATAGCGACCCCTCCTTGGATTTGCGAGGCGATATCACCACGGAAGTAGATTGACTAACCTTCCTTCCTTAGGAGTGGCGGGGTGGTGGTGGGGTTTTGAACCTCCGGCCTTCTGGTTAGCAGTCAGATGCCTTAGGCACTACACCACCAGAGCTCCCTCAAATCATATAAACTGTACCATTTTCTTGAGCAATTTTGAATCCCTTTTTTATATCTGAAAACTAGCCAAATATCAGTATCTTCTTTGCATGGACATTGTGGGGATTAAATGAAATAAATGTCCATAAATGGACATTTATGTTAATCTCTTTTTATGGTACTTGACAGTAAGGGCTGGATAAATATTGGCTCTTATCACCTCGAGAAAATTGTTGGGGGAAGCAGAGGAGCTGCTGGAATTAAATTTGAGGTTAATAATAATAAGAACAACTAATAAAAATAAAAACAGGGAATGTAAGTCCTGTGTATGGTTCTTAAAACATCATGCCCAGCCATGCTAGGGGCTGGGGAGATAGTGGTAAGCCAGACAGCTCTGGCCTTGTGCTCATGGATCCACAGTCCATTGAAGGCGAGAGACTTGTCATGTGACTGACCATTCAGATGGTCAGAGCCATGATGCGGGGAGGCACAGAGGGAGCAATTGTGGGAGAAGCCCTCCAGCTTGCGGATGTCTGGGGTTGGAAGAGCCCGGGGCACTGTGGGAACTACAAATAGTTTTGTGTGGCTAAAGCCTGTGACTCATGGAGAAGTCTCAGGTGAGCAGGAGGCTGCTGGGGCATCAGGGCTTGCAGGCTGAAGGAGGTGTTGAACTTTGTCCTGAGGGCATTGTGGCGCCAAGCAGGGGACACGATCGGTTGTCAGTTGTGATAATCCTCACAACTGTGAAGGGTGAACTGGAGTGGGTGGGAGAGGAGTGGAGTCTGGAGTGGTCCCGAGTTCAGTGGAATGCCTGGGCCCCCCCAACTGGATGTACGCTGGTTCCCTAGTACCGCTTGACAGGGATATACCACAGATGGGATGGCCTTAACAAACAGAAGTTTATTAAAATTTGGAGGCTTTAAGTCCAAGTTCAATGTGCCAGGCTCTAGGGGCTGGGTGAAAGCCCCTCAGCCTTGGGCTTCAGCTCTGCCTCCTGCTCCCGGCCCACTGGAGCTAGAGGCTTTTCTTCACTCAGACAGCTGCTGGCTGGTGAGGCTAACAAGTAAAAAGGCACAGTCCTGATGTTACCAAACCACACAGCAGACCATTAGTTTAAGTCCGTTAAGTCTGCAGGTCAACAGAGCATGGCAGGCTGCTGAACAGCAACACGGCTACATGCAGGGTCCAAGCATGCCATAAGCTAGAGACCATTCCCAAAGCTGTTTCTTATATACGGGAAGCAGGCCACATACCCAAAGGCAGCTACTGAGCTGCTCACAGTAGATTCCACCATGGAGTTGATTACCAGTCTCATCGTGGGACATACTACATCCAGCTGCCCAGCAACTCAACCAGGCCTAGCCAAGTTGACACAAAAACATAACCACCACAGGGTGCATGAAAATGGAAGAGTTTTTAGCTAACTGCTTCAAAACACCCTTTGCCTCCCACACAAGCACTTTTTTTCCCCCCCATTCTTCCCTCCTGTAGTATTTCTCAAATACAAAGTATTTCCTGCCCAGCTACCTTCGTCACATAAGATAATGGTTTTTCTAGGTCTGGGTAGTAAGACTGGTTCTTCCTTTGTAGAGTTGAAATTCTGCTTCCTGTCAAGATAGAATTGAGTTCTGGTCCCAGCTCTGCCTTATCCTTCTCAGCACCTCAAGACATTCACTGTGGGCCAGTGACTCCCGTCAAAGCCTGTTGCCACATTTGTAAATTGGAAATATGATGGGGACGGTCATGGCTGCTGCTTCAAGGGTTTGGTCTGAGAACTGAGTGGAAGTATTTCCATAAAACGCTTATTGGTGTCTTTTTTTTCCTAAGGGCGAGATCACTTTGAAACCAGCATTTTGTTTACTTCAGCAGTATGTCGTGTATGGTTGAGATGGAGGAAAACACAGGGGGGAGCTTCATTCATGAACAAGGGGCTCTGGTGGTGGAGTCAGTAAAGCATTCAGTTGCTAAGCAAGAGGTCGGTGGTTTGAGCTCACCAGCCACTCCATGGGAGAGATGAGGCAGTTCTGCTCCGTCCTAAAGGGTCGCCGTGACTCGTAATCTACTCTTTGGCAGTGGGTGTGGTTTGGTTTTATTCATGGACTTGTTGGTGGAGAAATTTGTGTGTTGCAGGCCACACTAGGCCTGGGGTTGCAGCAGTAAACAAATTGTACGGCTTGTACAGAGACAGAGAATAAACAAACATACCTGCTGTCAGGAGGTGGGAAATGCCATGAAAACAAAGTGAGTTGGGTGAAGAAAGGAGAGACTGATGGATGGGAGGGGGGGAGGCCATTCCAACAGAATGGCTAGGGGAGGCTTCTCTGAGATGGCCTCTCTTCTCCTGAGACCTGGACGACTGGAAGGAGGCAGAGGTGCAGACCTTGGGAAGGGTGATCCAAGCATAAGGAACAGCCAGTGCAAAGGCCCTGAGGTAGAATTAATGTCCCAGGAAAGGGCTGTGAGACCAGTGTGGCTGGAGAGAGCAAGGCGAGGTAGAATGTGGGAGGAAGGTAGGATTGAGGAAGTTGGCCCGGACCGGATCACACGGGCCTTGGATCGAGGTACTAATGACAGAAGAAGCAGCACTTATATTTGTTGCTAATTTACTGCGTGTGAGGTTCTGTTTTAAAAACTTAGCTCGTAGGAACCTTTGTTCTTCATACAGCAACCCTGTGGGGTAGGTGCCATCATTCTCCCCACCTCACAGAGTGGCACACTGAGGCCTTGAGTGGTTCATGGCAGCTGCTGTTACTGTTGGATCTTGAAGGTTTACTGGCCCACAGCATTCTGGGTACTCTGTCAGGTGTCCGGTGGTCTCTGTGTGGGCTACACGTCATCATAAAAAAGGAGCTCAGACTCCAGGGTGTGGTACTAGGTCTGTGGTCACCAGTGGGTCTTTCCTTCCCCGCTGCAGAGCTGAAGAAGTCCCTGTACGCCATCTTCTCCCAGTTTGGGCAGATCCTGGATATCCTGGTGTCACGGAGCCTGAAGATGAGGGGCCAGGCTTTTGTCATCTTCAAGGAGGTCAGCAGCGCCACCAATGCCTTACGCTCCATGCAGGGTTTCCCCTTCTACGACAAGCCCATGGTGAGTGTTGTGGTGGGTGTGTGCGTGTGAGATACTGGGAGAGATGGGTGGGTCTGGGGTGTGACGGGGTGCAGCTGGTTCCCCTGCTACCTGGAGTCCGATTCCCTAAGGACAGGGGATTCAGTTTCTGCTGTTACCCGACAGTCTGGGGGTTCAGCAAAGGCTTTCTGGGTGAGGTGAGACTTGAAGATGGGGGTTAGCTGGGGCAGGAGAGGGGTGTGTTCAGGCAGGATGGTGTGGACTAAGACCTGGAGATTACCGAGAGCGTCTATAATTGAGGAACTGAGTGACGTTCATGTGGCTGGAGCACAGGGTGGGCAGTGGTTGGGAGGGTGTGGCATGGGGACAGTGTCAAGTATCAGGCTAGGGAGCTGGACTTTGCCCTGAAAGTGAACTTGTATCACTGGGGAGCCATGGGAGGTTGAGGGGTTCCCCTGGCTGCTGGGTGGGTGAGTTAGGAGGGAGACGGGAGTCCAGTCATCAAGGTGAGGCTGGGTCAAGCTCCAGGTGGGAGAGGACAGGGTAAGACCAAGGCAGGAAGAGGTGCGTTGTCGATGTTCAAGAGGCTGAGGGGACTGGTCTGTGGAGGTGAGGAATGGCTTAAAGTCCCTGTGCTAAATGAAAATTGCTGGCAGGCACCTCTGGTTCTTTAGTTGGGCCTTTTTTCTTGTTCCTCTCTCAGTTTTTGGGTTTCACTGGATTGGAATGTGCTACCATGTTCCAGCTCCGTTAGGGAAGTGATAGTGTGTCTCAGGAAGACATGCCTGGAGGCCCTGGACAGGTGACCTGTGTGCAGGAGACAATCATGTAGAAGCGGTGGGCCTGAGGACAGCCAGGCAGCTGATGTTGGCTCCAGCCCATTGTTGCCATTGGGTTTACCAAACCCACTGTTAAGTGGGTCTGACACATAGTGACCCTGTAGGACAGAACCGAACTGTCCCATAGGGTTTCTAAGGTTGTGAATCTTTACGGAAGCAAAGCCCAAACAAAACTCCCTGCCGTCGAGTTGATTCTGACTCACAGCACCCCTATAGCACGGCGTAAAACTGCCCCGGAGGGTTTCTAAGTGCCTAAGGCATTTGACTGCTAACCATAAAGTTGGCGATTGAAACCCACCAGCCACTCCATGGAAGGGAGATGGGGCAATCTACTTCCGCAGAGACTTAACTGCCTCGGAAACCCAACGGGGGGTCTCTAGGAGTCTGAATTGACTGGATGGCAGTGAGTTTTTAAATCTTTATGGAAAGCTGCCTCTTCACCTGTGGAGCAGCTTGTGAGTTCGAACCACTGACTTTAGTTAGCAACCATGCACTTGAACCATTTTGCCACCAGGGTTCCTGCCACTGAACATAGGAGCCTGGAATTGCCACATCTTTCATTTGCCTCTCAGGGGCAGCCAGGAATTGGCATTTTAGGTATAGAAGTCATAAACTTTTTTTGTATTGTCCTCCCTACTTTTACCCTCAAATCACTGCTTGAACCAGATCAAGCACTCAAGCCCATCTGCGTTCTGTGAGGAAGTCCTGTCAACTCTACCTTCAAAACATATCCCCTGTCTGCTGTGACCTGCTCCAGCATCACCTCCCTTGCCAGGACTGGCCGCGCCCCCTCGTTCGTCCCCCTGCTTCTACCCTTGCTCCCTGCAGGCTGTGCTCCACCTCACAGCCAACATGACCCCCCTCTGCTCAGAGCACTTACGGCTCTCATCTTGCTCCAGAAGAGACAGTCCTCACATGGTTCCAGCCCGTTACCTATCTCCCTCGCTTTTGTCCACATTGGTCTCCTTGCTGTTCTTCTTCTTCTTCTTTTTTTTTTTTGTGATTTGTGTGAAAGTTTACAGAGCTAATTCACTTTTCATACAGCAGCTCACATACATTTAGTTTCATGACATTGACTATAGTTTCCCACAATGCAACAGCTCCTCTCCCACTTCCTCCCCATAGTTACCTCTTCCCTGTGTCCTTCTCTCCCGTACCCTCCTGCCCCCTGAGCTGTCTCCCTGTGCATCCACAGTCCTCCTATTCTCCCATGGTTGTTCTCTGCAAGGAGTGTATCTACCTAATGTAAATGTTCGGCTCATATGCCTGTCTTCTGTTTGGCTGGAAGCCACAGGAGTGGGTTCAGTTCCATACCTGAAGGACAGCTAGGGGCTGTAGTCTCAGTGGTTCCATCAGTCTCTATCAGACCAGCAAATCTGGTCGTCCCCCCCCTTTTCTTTTTTTTTTTTAAATGATGTTGAGTTTTGTTCCACATTGTTCTCTCACTCTATCCAGGATCTCCTATATAGATCCCCTTCCGAGTGGTTGACAGTGGTAGCCAGGCACCATCTAGTTCTTCCAATCTCATAGTCATATAGACCAATTGTTTCCGTGAATCTTTGGTTTTCTTCATTCTTCTTTGCTCTGGATAAGGAGAGACCCATCGTTGCATCTAGATGTCCACTTGTAAGCTTTTAAGATCCTGGTCCCTACTCACCAAAGTTGGACGTGGAACAATGTTTTGTGTAGTAATGTTATGCCAGTTGAGTTTGATGTCTCCTGCAACTGTGGTCCCAAGCCCACAGGTCCAATTACTTCTCTTTGCTGTTCTTGAAACACCAAGCACACCTTAACTCTTCATCAGGCCAGTCCCTTTCCCAGCTAGAACACTTTCCTCGGATGCCTACGTGCCTCCCTCCCTGAGTGTCTCCGCACAAATGTGGCCTCAGTGAGGCCTTTCCGACCCTCCTCCCTGGGAGTCAGTTCTTGCTGATGCTTCGTTTTCCCTCCACATCCTCATTTCTCCTGCGGTCTATCCAGTGGGTTCAGTCCACTGGCATTTCTGTTGGCAGCCACCAGAGCACTTACGATCCTTTGAGGTGGATAATTTTACAGATGAAGAAACTGAGGCCAAGCGGTTTCCATGACGTTACTCATCAAGCTTGCTGTGGGGTCTGATTTTGAACCCAGGCAATTGGGCTCTGAAGTCCGTGCTCTTCATCCTTTTGCTTTTGTTCTGCAGCGGATCCAGTATGCCAAGACAGATTCCGATATCATTGCCAAGATGAAGGGCACCTTCGTGGAGCGAGACCGCAAGCGAGAGAAAAGGAAGCCCAAGAGCCAGGAGACCCCGGCTGCCAAGAAGGCTGTGCAGGGTGGGGCAGCCGCTCCTGTGGTGGGGGCCGTCCAAGGGCCTGTCCCGGTAAGCCAGGGCCCACAGGCAGTATCCCTCTTGTGTCCAGGCCTTCCTCGTCCCTGTGGCCCACTCAGGTCAGGGTGGGGAAAGTGCTCCTGTTGGGGGCTCAGACCCTCTCTTCCCTTGAAGACATTGTGTGTCTCTCAGGTGCTTGAGCAGTTAGATGATGGTGTCTCTACTCTGAAACGCCTACAACACCTCCTTGATCTTGATATGGCCGTCTGTGGCTTTGAAGTTAATATATGTGTAGAACATTTAGAGCAACGTATTCACGAAGTTTTAAAATGAGTGAGTGAATTTAGCGAGGGCGCTTGTATATAAGGTCAGTGTGGAAAAAATAATTTTGTCTATATGGTAGCAAGAAACAAGTAGAATTAGGAAATAAAACACTATGTACAGTAGCATCTAGGAGCAAATCCAAAAATAAGATGTGCAGACCCTCCAATCTGAAGCCACAAAACATTACTGTGAGGAAATGGAGACAAATGGATGGATGGGAAGACTTAATACTGTTGAGATGCCATTCTCATCAAAATCCCAGCAGGAATTTTTGTGGAAATAGGCTGTTTCTAAAATACTTGGGCAAGGTAGACAGGAACAACAAAGCCAGATACCTGCACTGCTGAGTGGCAAGCCTCTTTCTAAAGCTAAAATAAGCAACCAGACTAACTGTCACTGAGTCAGTTCTGACTCACGGGTGACCCCCATTGGGCAGTAAATCTTCATGGAAGTAGATTGCCCATCTATTTCTGGTGGCTTTGAACTGCCAACCTTCTGGTTAGCAGTGAAATGCCGTATACACTGTGCCACCAGAACTCCTTAAAAAAGGCAAGGTAGTGTGTTGGTGTGATATGGGTGGGAAGGTAGATAGATCAGTGGGACAGACCAGGGTCTAGAAACATCCACGCATGTGTGGCTACTTAAGAGAAAGGAACCACTGCAGTTCCTTCCCTGTGGAAAGGACATTTCTCACAAGATGATGTTGGGCCAGTCAGGTGTCTGTTGGGAAAAAACAAGCCCAGCCTCGTACTAAATATAAAAGGTAACGTGAGATGAATCACAGACATGAATGTGACAGCTAAAACAATAAAGGTTCTAGAAGAAAACAGGAAAATGTCTTCATGACCTTGGCGGTGACACGAAAATGGGAAACTTCCTGTTTTTTAAACAGGATACATAAAGCGCGGCCTATAAAAGATGGATTAACGAGCCTTTGTTGGGACCTGGTCTGTATGTTGGGCTTGCTGGCTGACTGGGTCACGCTTTATTGGCCCCACCTCCACTTGCAGGTCTGACACTATTTGCGTCACTCTTCCATGCATTGCTGGTGGGACTGGAAAGCAGTATGGCAATTCCTTAAAAAGTTGGAATTAGAAATAGCATTGGATCCAACAATCCTGTCACTAGGTATATATCCTAAAAAAGTGAGAGCCAGGACAAGAAAAGATGTATGCACGCCCATGTTCATTGCAACGCTGTTTACAGTAGCAAAAAGATGGACCCTGGACCCAACTTTCTGTCAACATCTGACTCTTGAAATTGTGGTTCCAATTGGGAGCCCCTGTCGCCCCCCCAACCCCCAATCTCTTTCCTGATCATCACTTTCTACCTCTGTCTTCTCATTATATCTTGGGTTTGTGGGTTTTTCTTTTTTTTTTCTTTGGTTTTATATTTTCCCCTTTAAAATTTTTCTCTCTATCCTAAAGTATTCTATACTCATTGTAGCAAATACTTCCGGTCCTCTCTCTGCATCTCTGTTGTCCTGTCTGTTTGCAGTGTCTTGTCTGCTTAGGTTGTCTCTTGCTGAGTCTGAGTCATTTTCCTGTGTCTCTCACACCCTGGTTTTCTTTGAGTGACCTTTCCTCCTCTCAGTCTCCTTCCGACACCGTTGGCACGCCTTCTCCCGCTGCCTGGTGCGTCTCTAGTCCTGCCCCCTCTCTCCACAGGGCATGCCGCCAATGACGCAGGCACCTCGCATCATGCACCATATGCCAGGCCAGCCCCCCTACATGCCTCCTCCCGGCATGATCCCGCCACCAGGCCTCGCACCTGGCCAGATCCCGCCGGGGGCCATGCCCCCACAGCAACTTATGCCGGGACAGATGCCACCTGCCCAGCCAGTAAGTGTCCAGTGCTCCAGGGTCTCTGGAGAGTCCTGGTGAGCGTTGTGTATGGGGTGCAGGAGAGAGGGAGCAGAGCAGCTCTAGCCCTGGCTAAATTATACAGGAATAGAAAGACTTTGGAGGGCTCCATTTGAGAGTGGGTGGTCTGGGCCAGCCTCTGGGGACAAGATACAAGGGCAGAGATGGAGACATAGCAGTGTGGAAAGGCCCCGGGGCAGGAGAGGAGGGGGCACATTTGTGGGACTCTTGGAAGGCCAGGGTGAGGTTGTAGTGGCAGTGAGCACCTCAGTTCATTCAGTGAGCTCCCAAGTCCTGTGAACACTCCAGCCCTGTCGTAGGCTCCGGGGCACAGCAGTGACCAGAGAGAAATGTCTCTGGCTTCCTATGGGTTTCAAGCTAGTGGAGGTGAAGGGTGGGGCAGGCAGGGCGCAACCTAGTGTCAGGTGGTGATAAATGCTGAAAAGAATTCAAGCAGGGCAAGGGACCGGGGCCAGGGGGGTATTAGCGGTGCCCACTAGACTCCTGTGCTCACATGCCCCCTCCCCACTTGCAGCTTTCAGAAAACCCCCCGAATCACATCTTGTTCCTCACCAATCTGCCAGAGGAGACCAATGAACTCATGTTGTCCATGCTCTTTAACCAGTAAGTGGGGCCTGTGGCTGGGCGAGGGCCAGGGCGGTGGTCAAGAGGTATCACCATGGGAACGGGCCTCAGAGCTCAGCCCTGAGCTGGCTGCAGCTTTGGAGGAGGGGTGATGACCGAAGGTACAGGAGGCTGTGGATGGGCGAGGCTGGTGAGGCCGGGTTGGTCAGTAGCAGCCAGGCCTGCGGGATCTTCTTCAGCCTGTGGTGTGCTGTGGAGACAGCTTCCAGGCACAGCCTCATTTTTCCAGCCTCTAAAGTGGAGAACTGCAGGTGCACGTAAAACAATAGCAGGATGATACTGAACACTGGCAGAATCAGCACTCGGAAACACGGGGTTTAGGGCATGAGAGTGTATGAAGATTCGTGCCCTGTGGGTGGGGTGTAAACCAGTGTGTCGACATATAGAGCAGCTGATGGCTTCAGAGAGGCCAGGGAGGTGTGTGTGTGTGTGTTTGCCTGGTGATTCTGCTCCTGATGGGTCTCCTATACTGTGAATACGGAGCTCTGGTAGCATAGTGCCTAAGGCATTTGCTGACCAGCAGGTTGGCAGTTCAAACCCACCAGTTCTGTGAAAGGAAGACGGGTCAATCTACTTCCGTAGATGTACCACCTCGGAAACCCAATGGGGGGGGGGTCGTTGTGAGTCGGAATTGACTAGGTGGCAGGGAGTTTGGTTTTTTCATACTGTGAATGGAGCAACATCACCATGTGTGTGGCTGCGAGTTGGAGGTAGCCTGGAGAGTGAAGGAGAAGGAAGCATTGAGGATGGTTCTTGGCCAAGAGAAAATTTTGAGAGCATGAATAACATAGGAAATGCTGCATATATGCCATAACGATGAAACCTGATGCACTGTTAGACGCCTGATGCGGTTGTCTAATGGGGAAGGAGGGAAGGAGAAGGGAACATTGAAGAAGGAGCATAGCATGAAAGTTGGGTGGTGGTTATTTCCTGGAGGGGGCAGTGTCCTGCTTTTTTCCCCCCCTTTGTGATTTGGGTGAAAGTTTTATAGAGCAAATTTATTTTCCATACAGTGGTTGAGACACATTTTGTTTCCTGATGTTGATTGCATTTCCCCCCAGTGTAGCAGCTCTCTTCCCACTTCCTCCCTGTAGTTACCTCGTCCCTTCCATGCACTTCTGCCCCCTGAGCTATCTCCCTGTGGGCAGCGTCATGCTTCTTGGTCTGGGGGTGGTGGCATGGCTCTTTATGTTGAAATGATGTTGAAACTAAACTGTATATTTACATGGTGCACATTGGCCTGCGTTTGGGTTTTTTGACTCGGCACTAAATACATTCCAAACCAAACTCACTGCCATTGAGTGGATTCTGACAGTGACCCTGTAAGACAGGATAGAACTTCCCCGTATGGTTTCCAAGGCTGTTCATCTTCATGGAAGCAGATTGCCACCTCTTTCTCCTGCAAAGTGGCTTATGGGTTCAGCCACCAACTTTTTGGTTAGTGGCCTAATGCTTTAACCACTTAAACCACCAGAGCGCCTTTCTCAGTAAATTTCGGTCTGGGTAAGTCTTTTGTGGGGCTATCCTGTGCATTGTAGGATGTGTAGCAAAATCCCTGGCCTCTATGTACTAGATGCCAGTAGCACTGTTCAGTTGTTGTTATGTTCAGTTAGGACAAGCAAAAATGTCTCCAGACATAGCCAGGTGTCCACTGGAGGGCGCAGTGGTTCCTGGGTGAGACTGGTTGGTTTATATCGTGTTTTATATAGTGTACCACGTGTTACGAATGAATGGTGAAGTTGGATCCCTGATGTCTCTCCTTCTGTTCTCTCAGGTTTCCTGGCTTCAAGGAGGTGCGGCTGGTCCCGGGGCGGCACGACATCGCCTTCGTGGAGTTTGACAATGAGGTGCAGGCCGGGGCTGCTCGTGACGCCCTGCAGGGCTTCAAGATCACCCAGAACAACGCCATGAAGATCTCCTTTGCCAAGAAGTAGCACCTTTGCCCCCATGTCTGTCCTGTCCCTGTTCTCGGGTCACCCTTCCCCCCTTGGCTCAACCCCCTGAAGGTAAGTGCCCCTCAGGGGCCTTCTTTGAGCCGTGTGTGAGTGAATGGTCGCCACACAGCATTGTACCCAGAGTCTGTCCCCAGACATTGCACCTGGCGCTGTTAGGTTAGAATTAAAATGTTTTTTTGCGGTTTGGTTTTTCATAGTCATTTGTGGTGTTTCTTTCTTTCTGTTCCCTTCCCTCCACATCAGGATGTTGGAGTGTGCAAACTAGGAAAACCACAGAAGAATTTCCTAACAACACTGTCCAATCTTAAGTCTCCTTTACTACTTGTGCAGTTTCCTTTTTGGGCTCATTCTGCGTCAGAGCAGGAAGTGGAAATTGAGGTCTGCCATGTATAAGTGGGGTGGTTGAGCTGCACCGGGACACCACCTTTAAGGGCACACCACACCATTCGCTTTGTAGGCTTACATTTTTACTCCAGTCATCTTTTAACAGATGAGAGAGCGTCTGCAGGAAGATGTTTTTCATCTTCTTTTCAGTGTGCGCAAAAGTGCCTCATGCCCTAGCAGTAGTCCCAGGTGTACCAGTCCAGGAACTTCTGGTAGAGAGGGATTTACTGGAGAAAACCGGGTGCTTGTGAAATTGTTGGATAGCGGTGGCAGTGTGGGTTAGAAACGTGTAGTTCAAGTTTGTAGGCCCTGACTGAACTGCAGTCCAGAGTTCAGGAAGATGCCACTAGTGCTGCCAGGCAGCCCAGAATAACTCGATTCCACAGATGAAGCTGCTGACCAGACGTGGGCACAGAACGTGTGGCCGCCTCAAACCCAGCGCGTCTGACCTTGCAGGCCAGCTGCCAGCCGGGAGCATCAGCAAAGTGGCTGCAGTGAATTCCCCTTCAGTACCCTGGTGGCATAAAGGGTAAGGACTTGGCTGCTAACTGAAAAGCTGACTGAAGCTTTTCAGCAAAAGACCTGGGGGTCAGTTTCCATCAAGGCTGCTGTCTAGAAACCCCGTGGGGCAGCTCTGTTCTCAGGTGGGGTTGCTGTGTGGCACCTAGCAACAAGAGCCTAACCTTGGGAGAGTCCAGGAAATAAAATTTGTGGCTAGGCAGCCTGCCCCAGCTGAACTTGTGAAAGAAGGGGAAATCGAATGAGAGGGACCCCTTAGCAATCTCTGTGACATCTAGCCTGGAAAGTGTTTAAATGGACTTGTAGAAGCTTATCACCAGGAACTCTTTCTAATGCCATGTAAGTTGGAAAAGGATCAATTGCTGGATGGAGAAAACCACAAAAAAATAAAACAGGTTAAGTTCTCTCTGGACATTGCCCGTCAGTGCGCTTAGCCTGCTCCGTGGTCTTAGTTAAAGGGAAACATTGGCAAGGGTTAGAAGCGATAAAAGACACAGAGCACCAATTGTATACTCTGCCTGTATCATGGGAAATTGCCTTCTTCAAATAGTATAGGGAAGAAGTGGAAACATCTCGCCCTACCACGCTGACCACCATGGGCCTGGTGGTTAAGTACATGGGTTCTGTGGTTAGAAGAGGCGCCCTGGTGGCCCAGTGGTTCAGGTGCTTGACTGCAAGCCTAAAGATCTGTGCTTCAAACCTACTAGTTGCTCTGTGGGAGAACCATATGGCAGCCTGCTTCTTTAAAGATGTATAGCCTGGAAACTGTGGGACAGTTCTCTGAGTAGAGCTATGAGTGGGAATTGGCTCGAGGGCTGTGGATTTGTTTGCTTTGGTTTGGTGGTTCAATGATCCTGGTTTCTACTCAGATGGCTGTGATCTCATGGCCAGTCAGTGTCCCTATTGTGAGCTTCAGTCTCTGTTTATCAGTATCGTGATGTTTGCCCTATACACACATACACACACACACACAACTAGACACTCGAAGTCAGCAGATACTTGCTGAGTACCTGTTACATGTTGAATGCTGTTCTAGACACAAGATAAGCAGTGGTGAATACCGGTAGGGTAGATTTCAGATGCTATGATCTGATGAGAATAAAACAGTACAAGGTAATGGAGGGCTGGGCCCTGGGTGATCAAGGAATGCCGCTCGGAGGTCCGTGTGGAAGATCCTGGATAGAATGGGAGAATGTGGAACAAAACTCAAAATCATTAAAGAATGTGCAGCCTTGTGGGAAGCCTTGAAGCAGAGGTGCTCCTGACCCACAGAAACAGATAGTTAAATATTGACTTAAAGATGCTGAATTTTGGAGTAATAAAGTGACGAAGCATTAAACCGATAGGGTTTCCAAGGCTGTAATCTTTATGGAAGCACGCCTTGTCTTTTTTCTGTGGAACAGCAGTGGGTTTAAACTGCCAGCCTTTTGGTTAGCAGCTGAATGCTTTAACCACTGTGCCACTAGCATTCCTTATGAAGCAGTGTTGTTAGGTGCCATCAGGTTGGCTCTGACTCGGCGACCCCGTGTACAACAGGATGAAGTACCGCCTGGTGGTGCACAGTCCTTGCCACATCTGAGCGCATCATTGGAGCCACTGTGTCGGACCATCTTGCTGAGGGCCTTCCCCTTTTTTGCTGACCCTCCTGTTCACCAGGCATACTCTTCTCCAGGCAATGGTCCCTTCTGACAACATGACCAAAGTAGGTGAGTTGAAGTCTGTCTATTCTTGCTTCCAAGGAGCATTCTGTCTGCACTTCTTTCCAGGACACATTTGTTCGTTCTGGAAGTCCACGGTACTTTCAGTATTCTTCACCAACACCACAACTCGAAAGCATCAACTCTTCTTCGGTCTTCCTTACTCACTGTCCAGCTTTCACACATATGTGACGATTGCAAACACCATGGCTAGGGTTAGATTCACCTTTGTCTATCAGAAGCAATAGATAATACATTGAGTTTTGGTAAGCCAGGTCACTTCTGTTCCTTGTATCCTTTGTTGCCTCATCACTAATATGGGGGGAGGAGGCTCGGTGTCCATGGCTAATACTTACTATGTTCTGATTTTCAAGTATCCTTAATACTTTCTGTGTGATCTCATTTACATACCTGATATGACATATTTGTTTAGTGGTTAATTGTTTCCCTCAGTGAAGAGGTTATGTTCCTTGATGACTTTCCAGGACCTAGCATAGGATGTTGGAGCTGTGGTAACACAGCCGTTAAGCACTTGGCTCCTAAATGAAAGGTCTGTGGTTTGAACCTACCAGCTGCTCTGTGGCATAAAGATGAGGCCATCTGCTTCCATAAAGATGGTGCCCATCTTGGAAACCCTATAGGGCGGGTCTGTTGTGTCCTACAGGGTCGCCACTGACTCAGTGGCAGTGGGTTTGGTTTTTTGGTTTGGCAAACAATAGCAACAAAGTATTGAGTATACACTCAAATAGTGAATGAAGTAGTAAATAATGGAAAAAGTCAAACATGCATTAAAAAAAAGAATGGTACATAGAACCCATATTCCCGGTTTCCCCTGTTATCACTTTGTAGCCAAATTATATGTCATCCCAGTCCTCACCCACTTTCTCTTCACCTCTGCTAGAATTATTTTGAAGCAAATTGCAGATACCTATTACTACAATGGGTCTCTCCTCATTCAGAGCAAAGAATGAAGAAAGCTAAAGAAGCTTGGAAACAATTGGTCAGAAGGACTGGGAGACCAGGAGAACTAGATGGTGCCCGGCTACCACTGTCAGCCACTCAGAAAGGGATGAATGTGGGAGATCTTGGATAGAGTGGAAGAACAATGTGGAACAAAACTCAAATTCATTAAAAAAATAAAATAATAGGTGTACTGATCTGATAGAGCCTGTTGAGACCCCCAAGACTATGGCGCCTAGCTACCCTTCAGGTTTGGAACAGAGGTTTAAGTAATGCTCTGAAAGATAACAACCACAGGTCCACAATCCCACCTTTAACAATAGTAATTCTTTAACATCACTGAGTATTCAGTGTTCTCATTTTCAGTATGTTTATACGTAAGTTTGGATATACTTTGAGTCAGGATCCAAATCAGGTCCACACATTGTGACTGGTTGATTGGTCCCTTGAGTCTGTTAGTCTAGAACACTCCTCAGTCCCACGTTTTCCGTTTCCCTGGCAGTTCATTAAAGAAACCAGGTTCATCATAGAGAGTCCCACAGTCTGGATCTTGGCTGATGGCATCCTTGTGGTTCACTTCATGTGTTTCTCTGCCCTCTGTCAAGTCCATTGAATGGGTGTATTTAACCCTTGTAAGAGCCCTATGATAGGAGCTCTGGTGGTGTAGTGCCTAAGGCATTTCACGGCTAACCAGAAGGCTGGTGGTTCAAACCCACCAGGCACTCCTTGGAAGAAAGGTTGGGCAATCTACTTCCATAGTGATACTACCTTGGAAACCCAAGGAGGGGTCACCATGAGTCGGATACGACTCGGCAGTAGTGGGTTGCTTGTTTTGGGTTTGAAAGAGCCCTGTGAGGCAGAACAGCATAGTGAAGGGTGTGGCCCTGAAGCCAAATCTACTCCCTCCACTTCCTAGCTGTGTGACCTCACACAAATTCCTTAACTTTATGCTTCTGTGTGATGCAGTGAACTACTTAATATGGCTCTTTAGGTATGATCTTTGTGACACCCACTAGATGACGCTGTGGGACTATGGAAATGTGAGGTGCTCATGGCCCACCAAAGAGACTGAATAGCTTGGTAATAATGTAAATGAGGTACTAGACACCATTGTGTGGGTGAGACCATGCAAATAAGATGTATGGAACCCTAACATGATCCGTCAGTTTTGCTATCTCGCTAGGCTTGAAATGAGCCATACCAGAGGCAGAAGGGGGAATCTCACTGCCGTCAAGGAAGAAGACCTAGAAGGGAGAGCTGGGACACAGATGCACCCATGTTCAATGGAGCACTATTCACAATGGCAAAGAGATGGGAGCAACCCAAGTGCCCATCAACAGAAAGATGGATAACCAAACTATGGTACTTACATGAAGTAGAATATTACGGAACACTGAAGAATAACGTAGAATCTGTGAAACACCACATAATGTGGGTGAACTTGGAGGAGATTATGCTGAGTGAAAAAAGTCAATCACAGAAGGACATACATTGCATTAGTTCACTATTGTATGAAGTCAAAAGGTTTATATATGGAAGGAAATTTTCTTTGTTGGTTACCAAGGGTGGGAGGGGATGGAAAGGGAACACTGCTAGAAAGGTGGAGACAGGTATTGATTTGGGTGAAGAGAAGGGCAATGTACCAAAAGCGAGCCATCAACACGGTATCACTAAAGGAGAGGAAGACACAGAGGTACATGGGAGGTACAGACAACAAAGATGAACCCTTTTACATACACAATACTGTGTTGTCAGTAATAACAAACAATCTATGGGTAAATAGATGGGTGGACAGGCTGAATGATAGGGTTAGGCAAAAGAAAATATACCCATGACTATATATAAGGTTGGCAGATATTTCTACATATATGTGTGTGCTATAACATATGTGTGCTGTAAGAATGTCCATATATGTAATAGAGCTAAGAAGGGGCAAAGTTAGAAGTTCCTGGCCACAGCCAACCACCCTGAGTGTGGTAATTACGTTTGTGTGTCATTGGCTGGGCTGGTTGAGTGAGTGGCTGAGCAGCTGGATGTAGTTATTCCCTCTGGTGAGCTTGGTAATTAACCCCATGGTGGAATCTATTGGAGCATCTGAGGAGCTGCTTTAGGGCTGTGGGCTGCTTTCTGTGTATTAGAAGCAGCTTTGGGAATGGCCTCTAGCTCATGGCATGCTTGAACCCTGCATGTAGCCCAGCCGTTGTTCAGTAGCCTGCCATGTTGCCCTGCTGCTCTTGGGACTTGCTTTCAAGGCTTGAATCGATGGCCTGTCCTGTGGTTTGGTACTATTGGGACTGTGCCATTTTATTTGTTGACCTTGAGGTTGTCAGCCTCAGCAGCCAGCAGATGCCTGAGTGAAGAAAAGTCTCTAGCTTCAGTGGGCCGGGAGCAAGAGGCAGAGCTGAAGCCCCAGGTCAAGGGCCTTTCACCCAGCCCCTAGAGCCTGACACTTTGAACTTGGACTTCTAGCCTCCAGAACTGTAAGAAAAGAAACGCCTGTTTGGTCAGAGCGGCACTAGGGAACCAAAACACTGAGGGAGTGATTAGTTGGACCTGTGGGCTCGGGACCATGGTTGGCAGGGGTCATCAAGCTCAATTGGCATAACATACTACACAAAAACACTGTTCTACATCCTACTTTGATGAATAGCGACTGAGGTCTTGAAAGTTTGCAAGCAGCCATCTGGATGCAACAATGGGTCTCGTCCAAAGCAAAGAACAAAGAAAGACAAAGAAGCTTAGAAACAATTAGTAAGGGACTGCGAGACCATGAGACCAGGAGAACTAGATGGTGCCTGGCTACCACTGTCAACCACTCAGAAAGGGATGAATGCAGGAGATCTTGGATAGAGTGGGAGAACAATGTGGAGCAAAACTCAAATTCATTAAAAAAAAAAAAAAAAAAAAAACAGATGTACTGATCTGATAGAGCCTGTTGAGACCCCTGAGACTATGGCTCCTAGCTGCCCTTCAGGTCTGGAACTGAACTCCTGTGGCTTCCAACCAAACAGCAGACAGGCACATGGGGTGAACATTCACATCAGGTAGATACACTCCTTAGACCGATCAATTGTGGGAGACCAGAAGGGCAGTGTTTGCACAGGGAGACACCTGGGGGGGAAGGGCAGGAATGCATAGCAAAGGAGGATACAGCAGAGGTAACTACGGGGAAGACTGAAGTCAGGATCATGAAACAAAATGTGTGTGAACGGTATGGAAAATGAATTTGCTGTGAACTTTCACCCAAATCACAATAAAAATGAAAAAAGACCCAGGAGTAGAGCTTGTCTTGGGCCTGAGATCTCTGCAGAGAGAGAGCAGCAGCAGCGGCAAGAGACTGGCAGTAGACGAAGCAGTGAGCGTCCCAGGCCACAAGGAGAAGGCTGGTGCCTTGGGCAGGAGGCTTGCTGACGGCGTGGGGTGCGTCTTTGTGCGCCTATCAGCAGAGCTAAAGGAGCCCTGTAACACTGCGTGGGGCAGGGCACTGGCTGAGGCCAGAGACGTGTCCCTGTGGCACAGCTGAGAAGAGCCTGTCCTGATCCCAGAATTACATCCTAAGCGTTCCTAAACCTGAATTGTATGTAACCGATTCCTTCACTAATAAACCCCGTAATTGTATTTGTGAGTTTTACGTGGCCATTGCAACAAATAAACCCAGCAGAGAGAGAGAGTGCGATTGGGAGGGAGAGCTGGTGTCAGAACTGGTCAAAAGGTTGGAGGGAGGTAGCATGTCTGACCTCCACCTCGTAGGAATCAGCCTTGGGCAGTGAGGTTCTGGATCCTCCTTCCCCCTTGTGAAGTTAGAGGCACCCCCCCCCCAGCCCATTTTGCATTCTGTTTCAATGTAAAATGCATTTATACTCAACGCCTTATGGGGGTGGTGCAGAATATTGAGTCAGTAGAGTCAAGCATTTGAAAAATACATGGTGGAAAAAAACAAACAAACATGGTGACTGTAACTCTTAGCACTTCTTATTATCCCCATTTTACAGATGAGAAAAGTGAGGCTCTGGAGGATCACCCAAGATCACCCAGTCAGAAAATGCCTTCTTCTTGTTTGCCATGGAGTTGGCCCTGACTCATAGCAACCCCTCCTTGGGGCTACAGAAGTAAATTGCCCAACCTTCCTTCCGAGGAGTGGCTGGTAGGTTTGAACCGCCAGCCTTCTAGTTAGCAGTCAAGTGCCTTAGGCACTATGCTACCAGAGCTCCCAGAAAACGGCTTAGGAGGGTTAATAATGATCCAAGTGGGACATTGCCTGCCCGCCTGCCTAAGGCCCAGTGTACAATATTCACTCAGTACTTGAGAGCTAAGGCTGGCTGTTACCTGAAATCAAAGGGCTGCCTTGTTCCCCTGCCCCCTTAGGACAGGAAATTCCAAGGTGGCTTTCCAAGTTGGCTCCTCTAGTTCTGTCCCTGGAAGGGAGAGTAGAGGGGCCTAGTCTAGGTACCTAAGCAGATCCAAGAGGGGATGGAATTGAATATCTCAACCTGCCTGTCTGGGCCTCTCTGATTGTTGAGGGGGTGGCTGTCACTTGGGAGTGGCCTAGGCTGCTTTGGTCCTATCTGGGCATTTCCTTGGGCTACCAGCCCTCACCCTGCCCTTGAAATGGTTCTGGCTGGATAGCAGCCCCTAGGAGAAATTTGGGACTAGTTTGGGGCGGGGACAAGCTCAAGAACACAGGTTTCCTTGTGTTGCTGGAGAGAGGGAAGGCAGGGGGAAACTGGAGACCCTGTTCCCACTCTGGGGCTCTCTCTTGCTCACAGTCCATGATGGCTTGGTCCTCAGTGATCTTTGGTGTCATCATCTTGCTGTTTGCCTTCCCAGGGCCTACTGTTGGGGGCCGCCCCATGCCCAAACTGGCTGATCGGAAGCTGTGTGCTGATGAGGAATGCAGCCGTAAGAGTGGCAGGGGGGTGACTAGTGGCAGGGGGGTTGCCAGCTAGCCTGTGTGTGGTGAGGGGCTATCACGCCTTTCTTTCCTTCCTCAGACCCCATCTCCATGGCTGTGGCCCTTCAGGACTACGTGGCCCCTGACTGCCGCTTCCTGACCATATACAGGGGCCAAGTGGTGTATGTCTTCTCCAAGCTGAAGGGCCGTGGGCGGCTCTTCTGGGGAGGCAGCGTGAGTTGGGAGACTGAAAGGGGGTTGTGGTGATAGTGCTTCCAATTTTTCACCTGAAGGGAAAATGTGAAGAAGTGAAACAGATGGGAGACATTTTGGGGGATACTGTGACCTACTTCACTTTTACTTTGTTTAGCAATCAGAGCACGGACTCTGGTGCCAGGTTTTATTGTAGACACTGAAGATAAAGCGGGAAACAATCCCTTTTATTCTGGGGGAGGGGGTGGGCAGTTAGCAAGCGGAGAATTCATATAAAGTGACTGGGAGGCAACTTTGATCGAGAAGTCAGAGAAGATCTCTAGGAAGGTGACATGTAGGCTGAGTGCGGAGATCAGAGGGAAGAGATGGTGGAAAGGCCTTCAGCAGAAACCACCTTGCCATTTTCCCAGACCCCAGCTTTGAACTCTTCTTCCTCAGGTTCAGGGAGATTACTATGAAGACCTGGCGGCTCGCCTGGGCTATTTCCCTAGTAGCATTGTCCGTGAGGACCAGACTCTGAAACCTGGCAAAATCGACGTCAAGACAGACGTAAGTGCCCCGGGGGGCTGGGAGTTGGATCTGGAGGAAAGACACTTGGATTGCCGTGATGGGTGGTCGCTTGTGTGTGTTGGGACAAATTCTTTACCTGCCTCAGTTATCTAACTTGTAAAATGGGGAAGATTTCTAAGCCCGTTGCAGATGTGATAGCCCTTGCGTGACCAAACTTGCTCTCCGCGGCCACAGCCTTTGATAAAACCACTGGATCCGTTGTGGCGTGACGTTTGGTTTTCTCTGCATGTTTCCCCTTTCTCTTTCTCTTTTTTCAGAAATGGGATTTCTACTGCCAGTGAGCTCAGCCTACCGCTGCCCCTGCTGTCTTCCCTCCCTGACTTGATGCAAATACATCGGCTGAGTGCAAACTGCGGATCTCTGTGGTCTCTGGGGTGGGGCAAGGATTTACAAAGGAAATGTTTCTCCAGGTTCCTGAATCTAACCAATCAACCCACTGAATGTGCTTTACGTCAAACGTTGCTGGGCAGATTCCCACTGAGTAAAGACCCTTTGCTCCAAGCTGAGTAGTGGAGGCGGGCTCCTAAATTTAGATGGGTTATAAGCAAATGAGAAGACAGAACAACCTAAACTGCCTAATTGGTGGACTATATTGTCCTCTGTAGACCAATGGGAGGGAGTTGAACTATTGGGAATGAGTGAGAATATAAGGTCATAAATCGCAGAACAGATGTTTCCTTGGAAGATTGCGAAGGGAGTCGGGAGGTAACCTGTGCGTATCGTCCTAATTTTTAGCTTTCCTACTTTTGAACTCAGCAATTGCCACCGTCCAGCTGAACATCCGCTACTCTCACAGACCCTTTTGCTCAATCGGCCCTTACCTCTTTAACATTCGTATCCCCGCCCCCAAATCCTCTCCTACCCAATCCGGAGTCTCACCTCAGCCTCCGACTTCCTGACCAAATCCGTTCCCCGTCTCCGCGAAGCCTCTCTGCACCGCCTACTCCCTCTGGGTCCGCCAATCCCTGGTCTTGGTCCCGCCCCCTTTGACCCGGCCCCTCTCACGCCACCAATCCGCGTAGTTTTCCCCGCCCACTACCCCCTAAGTCAGCCAATCCCTTCCTTTGAAAAGCGTGGCCTGGAGTCCCCCTGCCCTAGCGGGTCGCGCCGGAGGGGGTGGAGGCGGAAGTGGCGGCGCCAGGCCTGGGGAGTAGGAAGGAATCGGGGCTGCAGCCGGAGTGGAGCGGCTGCCAGCCGAGGAGCAGGCGCGGCCGCGGCGCCATATTGAGGCCCTAAGCGGCCGCTACTGAGTCATGGCCGAGACCTACGGTGAGAGTGGTGGGTTCAAGCTGTGGGTCTGGGGGCTGGGCACAGAGAGGATGCGGCCTGTGGAGGATAGGGCGGGGCTTAAACGTCAGGGGGCGGGGTCTAATGTTATGGGGCCGGGCTTTGTGGATGCTGGGTGGGGCTTGGTGTGTCAAAGGCTGAATTTAATCAGCTTGGGCGGAGCCTGAGAGGCTGGTACTTGGGTTGGATGGAGCCGAGGGCGGGATTTGAAGGCTAAGCTCTGGTTAAATCCTACCTAGACCTTGAAGGAAGGGGTGGCCTTAATATATTGGGGCGGAGCCTGATTGGATGGGGCGGGACTGACTATGTGAATGGCAGGGGTCGGGCTTAATGGAATAGAATGAATTATGTAGGAATGATGTGGTTTGAGAGGTCCGGTTGGAGATGGGTTGCACTTGGTGGGACTCAGTGATGAGGGGTGGAGTTTGCTTAAACTTGAGGCAAATAGGGGCAAGGCCTTGGGCCAAAGGAGGGAAGGAGGGGTTGGGATTGGAAAATACAAATACGGAAAATACAGAAAAGCAGAGGGAACCAGCTTGTCATTTCCAGAGAGTGTAATGAAGGCCAGGAACTGTATTGGAATGAATGAGTCAAGAGTGATGGAGATGAAGTTGAGAGGGGTAAGAGTCAGATCAGACAGGGCCCTTGTCCTTGATCAGATGGCTTTCAAAAGGCTATGGTAATGTAGTTAAAATCTTGACTCTGGCGCCAGTTGACCTGGGTTTCAATCCCAGTTCTGCTAGCTACTTCCTCGTTGTTTGACCTTGGCTATGTCAGTTAACCTGCCTCCAATTTCCGCATCTGGAAAATGGGGGATAAGTATAGTATAACCCCCTATAGTTTTCCTAAGGATTAAGTGAGCTGTTGATATAAGCAAAAATGTTAGAACAGTGCCCCGTGGTAAGCACTATGAACAGGAATCTGCTGCTGCTATTATCTGTTGCTGCCTGTGTCTACTTCTGTCCCTGTAACTGTGATGGTCTCTTGGTTTCCACCTTTTTCTCTGTATCCATCTCTTCTTACGGGTAACCCTGTCATTGGCTCCATCTGCCCAGACTTCCTCTTCAAATTCCTGGTGATCGGCAGTGCTGGAACTGGCAAATCATGTCTCCTTCACCAGTTCATTGAGAATAAGTGTGAGTTCTTGGGAGCTGTGGCATGGGTGCATAAGTGTGAGTTCTTGGGGGGTGTGGCATGGGTAAATGGGCAGCTGATGGGGGTGGGCAGGGCTGACCGAGTGCAACCCGAGTGCTGGCTCCTTGGTCCTTGCCTTGGTGTTTGCTCCTTGCTAGGTCCTCCTTGAGCCTCAGACAACCCAGCAATGAGAATGGGTTTGTAAAGACTGAGGGGGCTGTGGAGGGTAGGGATCCTCTGAGCCTTGGCACCGTCTCCTCCTTTCTCCCTCCACCTTCCAGTTAAGCAGGACTCCAATCACACCATCGGCGTGGAGTTTGGATCCCGGGTGGTCAACGTGGGTGGGAAGACTGTGAAGCTACAGATTTGGGACACGGCTGGCCAGGAGCGGTTTCGGTAGGTGGGCACTGAGTGGGCCGGACCCCCAAGGAGAGAGAGAGAGGAGGGTAGAGAAGTTCAGAGTCACTTGGAGATACAGGAAGGAGACGATGAGATGGTAGACAAGGAGAGGGTAGGAGAGATAAGAGACCATGATTAGCTGAGATATAAAGCCAAGGATAGAGGGAGTCCTGGAGGGAGAAAGAGGCAATGAGAGAAAAAATTAATAGCGAAAGAAGCACGTAGAAAGCAAGAGAGCCAGGGAAAGACAGACCCCCAGAGACTCTGTGATAGACCCATATGGCCAGAGGAGTGGAGACATGCCTGGGAAGAAAGGAGGCCTGACGAGAAAGGAAGACTTGGGGGTTAGCAGAAGAGATTGAGAGAGGGAGAGACTAAAACACAAAGAGAAGGAAATTTGAAAGAGAGACACACATTCTCACCAAGGGAGAAAGCTTGACAGTAACTGAAAGAGAGGACGAGAAAGATCACGGAGAGGAGGAGAGGCCAGTTCAGAGGTAGAGGCAAGACAGAGTCTTGAAGAGTTGGGCAGATGTGTTCAGAGATGGAGAAATGGATGTGTGAGGGAGAGACCTGCACAGGGCCCAACAGAGTAGGTCTGCAGGAAATGTCAGCAGAAAAGTACAGAGGCACATAGAAACCTGAAGAGAGAGTCAGAAACGGAGATAGAAGCCAAGGAGAGAGAAGAGAGTGAGTCCAGTCCATAGAGAGGTGTGGTCTCTGGCAGCTACTAAGTCATATCTGTGTGTCATTCGCGCCATGAGGTATACAGAGCCCAGAGACAGACAGAAGGGGTCAAAGGAGAGATGGGTGTATGACATGGGCTGAGCCCAGGGGAAGTGCTCTGCAGATGTTTGTGGAGTGATGCCATGAGCTGCTGAGGGACCCAGAGCGGGCAACACGGGGAAATGCAGAGTTGGCCACATTGGGGAGAGGAGTCATCTCCCAGACACAGCAGGAGATGGGCAGACAGACAGAGTTAGCACCGGCTAGGTCAGCAGAGGGGAGATGCTCTGAAAGTGGTGAATGAATGAACGAATGAATGAGTGGATGGGAAGGTGAGGGCAAGGATAAGGGAGAGAGAGCTGAACAAAATTAGAGACACATACATACAAGAGAGAGAAAGAGAAACCAGTGAAGCAACAATGACGGAGCGACTCAGACACAGGCAGACAGACAGACAGCTAAGTGAGAGAGATTGAGCGAGGATGCAAGATAGAGGAATTACAGTAAGAGCAGTCCAGGACCAGGTTTTGGGGTAGGCCAGCAGTAAAGGAGGGTCTCTGAAACACCAGTCTTTCTCTACAGAGGGGGGCAGTCTCGGGTTAGACCCCAGCCTCGGGGGTGACTGGGTCCCCCTGGCCCCACAGGTCGGTGACCCGGAGTTATTACCGAGGGGCGGCTGGAGCCCTGCTGGTGTACGACATCACCAGGTGCGTACAGGGCGTGGGTGGGCAGGGCACGGACAGCCCCTCTCCTGCGCCTGCCTCCCCCTCTCTCCCTCCTCCGCAGCCGGGAGACATACAATTCGCTGGCCGCCTGGCTGACAGACGCCCGCACGCTGGCCAGCCCCAATATTGTGGTCATCCTCTGTGGCAACAAGAAGGACCTGGAGCCTGAGCGTGAGGTCACTTTCCTGGAGGCCTCCCGCTTTGCCCAGGAGAATGGTGAGGGCCGTGTGGGTGGTGGGGGGTGGGCAGTCCACCCAGCCGTCTCTGTGGGTGCCTATGCAGGGATGTGTGGAGGTCCTACGCTCTGTGCTCACGGCCAGACATTGTCGTGGCAGCACTGTGGCGCCACGCTGGTCCTCAGTCTCTTCGTCTGGTAAATGGGTTCACACTGTGTCTGCCTCACAGCCAGAGCGCTGTGACAGTTAAGTGGCTTCGTAGGAGAAAGCCCTCAGAGCTGCCAGGTCAATAGTGGGTGCTCGGCAGATCTGGCTGTGGTTTCTGTTGTCGTGAGGAGGTAGCACAGGGTATTGTCAACTGGGGTGACAAGCTGATACAAGTAGAGATTGCAAACTCAGGTGGCCCCAGGGGACAGGCACATTTTGTGAATAAGGGAGGAAGGAATAGAATAGGCCCCAAGGTAGGGCAGTGGCACCAAGCGGAGGAGACAGGACCCACAGGTCTGTCAAGATATGCAAAATGCACATTCAGTTGAAACCATGTTGGCCAGACCAACCCCATGTGTGTGTTGGGATCAGCTCATGGTCCACTAGTTGTAACCTTTAGGCTTACAATAGGTTTTGCCATTGGAGAGTTGTGGGTTTGAATCCCAGCTCTTTCTTACTGTGAGGTCTTGGCAAGTGGCTTACAGTAGACGATGGTGGGTCTGAGTCCATGCTAGGTGGTTCTGGGGGCACGGCCATGAAGTCAGCCGTGGGCCCAGCCCTCAAGGGGTTCACCTTCCAGTGGGGTTTGGGGAACAGGCCTATTTTCTGATAGAGCCCTGAGGGGTTAGGGCCAGAGCCTGGCCAGAGCGGTGCAGGTAGGGGGGTTGGGCCCAGGATGGGGGAAGAGTCGGTAGAG